TCCGCTGCGCAACTGTCGTCACTATCGGAACACCACTGAAGATCGGACTGCCAGCATCAGATCACCAAGTTTCGCCCTCAGGGCTCCGCCCTCGGGCAAGTGCGGATCGCGCCCAAGAGGCCCTTCCCGGACAGTGCTCACACTTTGAGAAGGGCCAAGACGCTCAGGCCGCAGACAAGGCAATTCATAAGCACAATGGTTCACTATACTGCGCAGCGAGACTGCGCCCCCAAAAGAATACCCTAAGCAGCAGGAGGACGAGCGCGAGAGGAGCCCCACCAGGGGCCCGCGCCCCGGGCCCGACAGGGGAGAGCCCCGAAGGGGCCCCGGGCGAGGGAGGGCAGCGACGCTGTTTAGGGAGGCGCCAGACAATTCTTCCCAGCTCACTGGCATGACAACGTGGCACAAGAGCGCTGGTCCCCGACCGGCGCTGAGCTCTGCGGGCTCGCCTCGGCAGCCCGCTTGCCCCCCCTCCGTGCTCGTGGCGCCCCTGCGGCTGCACGTGCGCCGCCACCTTGAAACCTGACGTCGTCGAGACGGGCTTGTGTTCCACAGTCAACGTCACCTCACCAGTATGCCCGACAACATCTGAGCATGCGCTGCCTTCCACCAGCACGCAACCGCTGGCACAGATCCGCGCCACATCTCCGAGCCCGACGAGCCCCAATGGGATTGTTTGATTGCCCTTCTCCTCGCAGGTGACTGCGGTGGGCGGCCGGGTTGAGGACATGCCAAACAGCGCCTCCGCGGCCTTCAGCTTTGCCCCAGACTCCATGGTCTTGCCAAAAAGCGCCACCACGGTCAGGATGGGACCCTTCGCAAGGAAGTGGCCCGACGTGTGCCCAAGCTCTTGTACCGTCGGATAATCATTGGGCGTGGAGACGCAGCCGCTGATGAAGACCAACGTGTAGAGGTATGTCGCGCTCAACACGAAGGGGGCGAACAGCCGGCGTGCTCCTCGTAGCCCATGGTATGCTCATGCGCGCTGCCCTCGCCCGCTAGACGCGGCTCGAAATCTGGGCCGACCGCGTGTCTCCAGCGAGCTAGTAGCACGCGGGCGCCGACGACGCATCGGTCGTAGTAGACGAAGTAGTGGCCTTGGACAAGCGCCCAGCAGCTGGGGACGCCATCCAGCCGCCGCGCCAACCCTTCCGGCTTCTCCCTGGGGCGGCTGGGCTCCACGTGGGGAACGGCCTTGCTGCTCATCTTCTCGACCTCAGCCTCGCCCTCCTCTGTGAAGCCCGCACTCTCGATCGCATTGCACAGGAGCACGTCTGAGCACAAATCTGCAGCGAGCTCCACGCACGTCAGACTGGTGACGGAAGACACGCTCGTCCTAGGTGCAGCTGTCGGTACTGTAGTCGGCGCAGCTGTCAGTGCCGCAGTCGGCGCAAATGTCGGCGCCGCTGTCATCGAGGCGGACGGCGTCGCTTCCGGCGCAGCTGTCTGCGAAGCGGTCGATGTAGTAGGCGCTGGCGCTGGTGCCAGCGTAGGCGCAGGCGGTGGTGCTGGCATCGGTGCTGACGTTGGTGCTGCTGGTGTAGGCGCTGGCGTTGGTGCCGGCGTGGGCTCATGCGTTGGTGCTGGCGCCAGTGCTGGCGTAGGCGCTGGCGTTAGTGCCGGCGTAGGCGCAGGCGTTGGTGCTGGCGTCGGTGCTGGTGTAAACGCTGACGACGGCGCTGGCGTAGGCGCCGCTGTTGGTGCTAGCGTAGGCGCTGGTGTGGGTGCTGGCGCCGGTGCTGGTGACGGTGCTGGTGCAGGCGCTGGCGTTGGTGCCGGCGTAGGCGCAGGCGTTGGTGCCGGCGTCGGTGCTGGTGTAGACGCTGACGGCGGCGCTGGCGTAGGCGCCGCTGTTGGTGCTGGCGTAGGCGCAGGCGTTGGTGCTGGCGCCAGTGCTGGCGACGGTGCTGGTGCAGGCGCTAGCGTTAGTGCCGGCGTAGGCGCAGGCGTTGGTGCTGGCGTCGGTGCTGGTGTAGGCGCTGGCGTTAGTGCCGGCGTAGGCGCAGAAGTTGGTGCTGGCGTCGGTGCTGGTGTAGACGCTGACGGCGGCGCTGGCGTAGGCACCGCTGTTGTTGCTGGCATATGCGCCGCTGTTGGTGCTGACGCCGGTGCTGGCGACGGTGCTGGTGTAGGCGCTGGCGCTGGCGCCAGCGTATGCACCAACGTTGGTGCTGGCGTCGGAGGCGCTGACGTCGGCGCTGGCGTGGGCGCCTACGTTGGTGCTGGCGTCGCCCCTGCTGTCGTGGCCGCTCCAGTTGTCTCCGCCTCGCTGGTGGTCGCCTCCTCGCCAGGGAAGACTATAGAGGCTCCAGCCGTCTCTGCCGTCGTGCCAACCTCTACGCCGCACACTTCAGCAGTCGTCCCTGCTGTGGTGGCCGCTCCAGGTGTCTTCGCCTCGCTGGCGGTCGCCTCCTCGCTGGGGGCGGACGGCGCGGTTGTCCGCGCTGCTGTAGGCGAGGCGGTCCGTGCCTCAGTCTGTGCAGCGGTCGGGGCCGGGGTCGGCCCCCCCGTCGGCGCAGTGGTCGGTGCAGCCAACTGCGCGGACGTCGGGGCCGCCGTTGGCGACGCTGTCTGCGCAGCCGTCGGTGCCGCAGCCGGCGCAGCTGTCGGCGCGGCCGTCGTCGCCACGGTCGGCGCGGCGGTCGGAGCCGCTGCCAGCGACGCTGTCTGCGCAGCTGCCGGTGCCGCAGTCGGTGCGGCTGTCGGCGTCGCCGTCGGAGCAGCTGTCGGCGAGGCGGTCTGTGCCCCCACCAGCGCAGCTGTCGATATCGCGGTCGATGCCGCTGCCCGTGCCGCAGGCGCTGCGGCTGTGGGCGCCGCAGCCGACGCGGATATAGATGCCGCTGTCGGCCTGCCTGTCTGCGTAGCAGTAGGCGCCTTAGTCGGTGCCGAAATCGGCGAACCTGTCGGCACAGCCCTCGGTGACACAGCCGTGGCCGCTGTCGGCGTGGAGGTCAGAGCTGCTGCCAGCAACGCTGTCGGCGCTGCTGTCGGTGCCGCAGCCGGCGCAGCTGTCGGCGCCGCAGTCGGAGCAGCGGTCAGCGCCACAATCGGCACGGCGGTCGACGCTGCGGCTGGATCCGCCGCCGTCGCCACTAACGGTGTAACTGTCGATGCCGTCGTCGGCGCGGCTGTCAGAGCCGCAGACGGCGCAGCTGTTGGCCAAGCAGTCCGTGCACTTGCTAGTGCCGAGGTTGGCGCAGTTGTCGGCGAAGCTATCCGGGCGGCTGTCGGCGCTGGCGGCGGCACAGCAGTCGGAAAGTCTGTCGATGCCTCCGTTGGCGCAGCAATCTGCGCGGCTGCCGGCGAAGCGGAGCAGCTGTCGGCGACGCCATCATCGAGGCGGCCGGTGCCGCGGTCTGCGCTACTGCCGGCGCCGCAGTCGGCGGGGCCGCCAGAACCACCGTCGGCGCAGCGGCCGGCGCGGCGGCGGGGGTCGCCGTCGGCGCCGCTGTCGGCGCAGCCTTCGGCGTCGCAGTCGGCGGAGCTGTCGGCGTAGCTGTCGGCGCGGTGGTCAGAGCCGTTGTCAGCGGCGCTGCCGGCGCAGATGTTGGTGCCACAGTCGGCGCAGGTGTTGGCCCCGCTGTCGACGAGGCGGCCTGTGCCGCGGTCGTCGCAACTGTCGGGGTAGGATTCGGTGCAACCGCCCGTGCCGCAGTCAGCGCGGCTGCGGGTGCCGCTGTCGGCATGGCTGGGGGCGCAGCTGTGGTCGCCGCAGTCGGTGCTGAAATCGGCGAGCCCCTCGAGGAGCCAGCCAATGCCCTCGCCGACGCGGCTGTTGGCGCTGTAGATGGGGCCGCTGTTGGTGCCGCGGTGGGCGCGACTGTCGGCACCGCAATCGGCGTAGCTGCCGGCGCCGCTGCTGGGGAACCGGTCTGTGTCATCGTTGGTACCGCTGACTGCGCCGCTGTCGGCGAGCTGGTCGCTGTCGGCGAACTGGTCGGTGTCACCGCTGACGGCGCTGCTGTCGGTGTCGCTGTCGTGGCCGCTGTCGGTGAAACAGACGGCAGCGCCGCTGTCGGCACCGTAGTCGGCGCGGCTGTCGGCGCGGCTGTCGGCGAACCTGTCGGTGCAGCTGTCGACGCCGCCGTCGTTGCCCCCGTCGGTGCCCTTTTCGGCGCGCGTGTCGGCGCTGGCGTCGGCGCCGCTGGCGGTGCTGCTGTCGGCGCATCTGTCGGCTCCGCCGGTAGCGCAGCTGCAGGTGCCGCAAGCGCAGCTGTCGGAGTGCCAGTCGGCGCCATCGTTAGTGCCGCAGTCGGCGCAGCCGTCGGTGCCGCGGCAAGAGCCGCTGTCAGCGAGGACGTCGGCGTCGCAGTCGGTGCAGCCGCAGGCGAGCTCGTCGGCCTGGCCTCCTCTGCCTTCTTAGCCTCCTCTGCCCCCTTGATCTCCTCCGCCCTCTTGTCCTCGGTGGCCGTCCAGGCCTCCTCGGCCTTCCTGGCCTCCTCTGCCTCGTCGGCCTCCGCAGCCCTCCTGGTGTCCTCCGCCGTCCTGGCCTCCCTGGCCTTCTTCGCCTCCTCAGCCCTCTTGGCTTCCGCGGCCTTCCTGGCCTCCTCGGCCGTCCCTGCCTCCCCTGCCTTCTCGGCCTCGCTCGCCCCCGCAACCGTCCTGGCCTCATCGGCATCCTGAGCCTCCTCCGCCTCGTCGGCCTCCGCGGCATTCTGGACTTCCTCTGCCCTCTGGACCTCCTTTGCATCCCTGGCCTCCTCTGCCTTCCTGGCTTCCTCAGTCTCGATTGCCCTGGCCTCCTCAGCCTTCTTGGCCTCCTCGGCCTTCGGGGCCTCCCCTGCTTTCCTGGCCCCCTCTACCCTCTCGGCCTCTTCTGTCCTATCGGCCCCCGCGGCCGTCCTGGCGTCCTCCGCCTTCGCGGCGGTCGACGTCGCTGTCGGCGCGCCAGTCGGCGCGGCTGTCGCAGCCAGAGAAGGAGATGTCGTGGGCGCAGCTGTTGGGGCAGCTGTCGAGGCCGCGGGCCGGCACAGCTGCCGGCGACGCTGCAGTTGGCACAGTCGGCGAAGCTGTCGACGCCGCAGTTGGCACAGCGGTCGGCGCAGCAGTCGGCGTAGCTGTCGGCGACGCCGTCGGCGCAGCTGCAGGTGCCGCTGTCGGCATGGCCGTCGGCGTAGCCGTTGGCGCCGCGGTCGATGCCGCATTCGGTGGGCCTGTCGGGGAGCCCGTCGGTGCCGTCGTTGACGCCGCTGTCGGCGGGGCGGTCGGCGCTGCTGTCGGCGCAGCCGCTGGTGCTGCTGTCGGCGCAGCTGTCGGCGCGCCCGTCGGCGTAGCTGCCCGGGCCGCTGTCGGTGCTGCCGTCGGCGCAGTTGTCGGTTCCGCCGTCAGCAAGGCTGTCGGTGCTGCCGTTGGTGCCGCATGCGGTGCAACCGTTGGTGCAGCTGTCTGCGCCGGATCGGCGCGGCGCTCCGAGCTGCTGCCGGTGACGCTGTCGGCGCCGCAGCCGGCGCAGCTGTCAGTGCCACAATCGGCGCAGCCGTCGGTGCCGCAGTCGGCGCAACTGCCATGACCACGTTCGGCGCTGCTGTCGGCGGGACGGTCGGTGGCATCGGTGGTGCCGCTGTCGGTGCAGCTGTTGGCGAAGTGGTCACACCCCTCGTTGGCGTCGCTGTCGGCTCAGCTGTCGGCGGCGCTGTCGGTGCCGCAGTCGACGCGGTTATCGGTGCCGCAGTCGGCGCCGCTGCTGGTGCCGCAGTCGGCACAACTCTTTGCGAGGTTTTCGGCACAGCTGTCGGCGTACCAATCGGTGCCATCGTCGGCGCCGTAATCGATGCCGTCGTGGGACCGCCCCGCTGCTCGTCGTCGGTGCCGTCGTCGGTGCACTCGCTCGGAGCGCCCATGGAGCCAGACACCGAAGGACACTTAGCCCCCCCCCCCTTCGCCGTCGCCGACGGTTGGGAAGTGTCCTGAGACGGCCTCACACTCCATCATCACCTCGTGCTCTGCTGTCCCCCCCTCCGTGCTCTGCTCGATCACCTCGGGCTTGCTCGCCGCAGACGTGGAGCCCCAGCCGCTGGTGAGGCCGGCGGCGCCCTTCTTCTCCGTCCGCGCGGTGCCGCACGCCGCGATGTCGTGGGTTCCCCTTGCTGTGCCGGCTCTCGGGCACGCCCATCGAACCGTGCCAGGTAATCGTCAACCAGCCCGCCCGCGCAGCCTGGATCTTCTTGGTCGCCTTCAGGCCGTTGTCCAAGTCGAGCCAGCCGTTCGGGATGCTCTCCAAGCTCACGACCCTGAGGTTCGCCTCGTCGCCGGGGCTGTTGGTGTCGCAGCTGGCTCCAAGGTCGGCGCTGCCG